CATCTGACACAGGGTGTCTTGAATCTGTGCAGGGTCCAATGAAATCTCAAGACTATCAAGGTATTCTAGAGAGAAATGTGCTGCCCAGTGGCAGAAAGCTTGGTCTCAGTCACAGGTCATGGGTCTTGCAACAGGATAATGACCCAAAACACACAGTTAAAAACACCCAAGAATGGCTGAGAGGAAAACACTGAACTATTCTGAAGTGTCCTTCTATGAGCCCTGATCTAAATCCTATTGAACATCTGTGGAAGGAGCTGAAACATGGCGTCTGGAGAAGGCACCCTTCAAACCTGAGACAACTGGAGCAATGTGCTCATGAGGAGTGGACCAGAATACCTGCTGAGAGGTGCACAAGTCTCACTGACTCAATGGTTTGATTGCCTCAAAAGGTTGTGCAACAAAATATTAAATTAAGGGTACCATCATTTTTGTCCAGGCCTGTTTCATGAGTTTATTTTTTAATAATTCCGTTAAACCACGGTTCAAAAGCAATGTCTGATTGTCATTGGTTAATTTTCATAGAATTTTTATTTATTATTGCTTTTGTGAGATTGAAGTTATTTCTGTGACCGTTGTGGGTTTTTCCTTTACATTAATTGAGGGGTACCAACAGTTTTGTCCACGTGTGTATTCCTTGTTGCACACTGTTAGACTCAGGAAGCTCAAGTTTTGTCATAAAGCTGTCATAACATAACTATTAACAGGGGTGGGAGAAGTTTTTAGTCCTACTTAGGTAAAAGTAAACGTCCTGCAGTTTAAAAAATATCCCGCTATCATGAAAGTTTAACAAAATTCTGGTCAATAATTGTCCTGCAAAATACTACTTAAGTGCAAAAGTACTGGCATCAAAATATACTTAAACTACCTAAAGTAAAAGCATGTGGAACACCTCTTTTTTATATTTTATTATTAGACTTTATATACTTCTGGGTAACTTACAATAATACATCAACATTTCTTAGTTGATTTACTTGTATTGTTAGTAGCATTGGCAATGACAGTCTAAACCTGCAACATAGCTAAGAACTAAAGCTTTAAATTATATTAAGTTTAGTACAAAATGCAATATTTGCCTCTAAAATATAGTGGAGTAGAAGTAGAAAGTAGCATTACATAGAAATACTTACAGTTGAAACCAGAAGTTTACATACACTGGATAAAAAGACACATAACCTTTGTTTTTCTCACTGTCTGACATTAAATCAGACTAAACTTTTACTGTTTTAGGTCAGTGAGGATTACCTAAATTATTTCTATTTGTTAAATGCCAGAATAATGAGAGAGAATTTTTTTCTTTGGGAATGTCCAGCCATCATAGTGCTCAGGAAGGAGAAGGTTCTGTGTCCCAGAGATGAAGCGTTTTGGTGTGAAATGTTCGTATCAACCCCAGAACAAAAACAAAAGACCTTGTGAAGATGCTGCTGAAGCTGGTCAGACTTCACTATCCACAGTGAAACCAGTCCTGTACCGGCATGGGCTGAGAGGCTACTCAGAAAGGAAGAAGACATTACTCCAAAAGGAACATAAAAAAGCCAGATTACAGTTTACAAATGCACACAGGGACAAAGACCTTAATGTCTGGAGACATATCCTGTGCTCTAATAAAACTAAAACTGAACTGTTTGGTCATAATGACCATCGTTGGATTCAGAGGAAAAAGGGGGAAGCTTGCAAGCCTGAGAACACCATCTCAGCTGTGAAGCACGGGGGTGGCAGCAGCATGTTGTGGGAGTGTTTTGTTGGAGGAGGGACTGGTGCACTTCACAGAATAGATGGCATCATCAGGGAAGAACATTATGTGGAAATATTGAAGCAACATCTCACGACATCAACCAGGAAGTTAAAGCTTGGGCACAAATGGGCCATTAAAATGGACAATGATCCAAAGCATACCACCAGAGTAGTTATAAAGAGGCTTCAGGACAACAAAGTTTTGGAGTAGCCATCAGAAAACCCTGAGCTCAATCCTGGAGAAAATTTGTGGGCAGAGCTGGAAAGGCGTGTGGAGCTGATTGAGTTCCACCAGTTCTGTCAGGAGGAATGGGCCAGAATTCATCAAACTATTGTGAGAAGCTTGTGGAAGAAAACCCAAAACGTTTGACCAAAGTCATACAGTTTAAAGGCAATGCTACCAAATACTGAGGAAATGTATATTTAAGAAAATAATAAAAGATTCTCTCAAACATTCTCTCTCATTATTCTGACATTTAGCAAATAGAAATAATTTTAATAATCCTAACTGACCTAAAACAGGAAAAGTTTAGTCTGATTTAATGTCAGATGACGAGAGAAAAAAAGAATATGTCTTTTTATACAGTGGATTTAAACTTCTGGTTTCAAAGTGTTTCAAAATTTAGTTCAATTTTTAATTAATATGCAAGTTTGAAAAGAGCTTGAACAGATTATAACAGCTCACAGTTGCTACATCTTTTTGTTTTGCGGCACATAAACCAACTATATAATAAAAATAATACTCAAAAACAGAATTTTGATGCAGCGATTCTTAGTGTGTTGGTTATATTTCACAAAAGAGGAACCACTTCAATAAGAGGAAACCTATAGAGCTCCACCAACATACAGTTACCATTACATAACATAAAGCCGACACAGAAAGTCTTAGTTTACAATTCATCAGGCGGCAGTTTCAACGTCTTAGTGAGGTAATAGTAATGATTTACCTGTTTGTGCTGAAAGCCTCTGCCGGTCTGTGGAGTCAGTCAGAGTAGAGTCAGAATAATGAGGGGTTTTCTGGCGGTTCTTTTGCTTGTAAGTGGAGGCAAACTTTCTCTCCTCCCTGTAACGCAGCACTCTGAGGAAACCTTCAGCCAGCATGGCACCGTCTTGGTCTTTTCTGCCTCCGTTAGCCTCCCTTTTGCTTCGTACGATTGTCAGTTGCAAGTCGTGGCGCGGTGGTATTGCAAATGTAATTATAAAGAGCTTCTGTCCTGTTTCACTTCTGCAGCTGGCCCCTCCACCTCCCACTACACACTTCCTTTATTAATCTGTAACTGAAAATCAGTGTCGGAAAAAAACAGAACAGTGCTTTTATGCATAAGCTGAGAACTGCTAACATGGTTCACTGAGGGGCACAGTTATTCAGATCCTTTACTTACAGTAAACGGACAGTGCATTAATGTGGAAACACTCCATTATTAGTAGGAGTCATTCATTAAAATACAGAGGTACTGTGAGAAAATGGGTGTTTAAAGTTGAAGTCTACAAAAAAGCTTTTTCAGTTTTGAAAGTTCAGTGTCTTCCAACCTCAGGGTCGGACCACATCCAAGAGGGTGCGAAGATAAATCTGAGGGTTTGTTTTATCATTAACAAGATAGAGTGTGGTTATGCCACACCAAATAGTATTCATGTTTTTTTACATTTTCTCAGTTTTTTTGCTTTTATTCGTGAAGTTTTGCTGAGTTTAATTTATTTTTCCCTCAGACAGTTATTTAAATAAAACTACAGGAGAAGTTTTGAGGGGAAATCTGGCTCTCTTGTGGAACCCACTGGTTTAATATTTAATAAGTAGGACTAGTCGTGTGCACATTCACAAAACCTCAGAGGGATAGAAAGAAGAATCACTGCAATGCAAGGAGCCCACACACTGGAAACAGCTCAGATTCATTTCATTACCGCAGTTTTAAAGTCTCTTCTTTTAGGATTATGCAGAAATAATGATCACTCGTTAGATTTTTAAAATCTTGCCTTAAGTAGACTTGGTGTTGTTGGTCATAAACAACAATATTGAGGAAACGAGAGTCAAGAGAGAACACAGTCTCAAATTATTTATATATAATTTGCAATTGTTCGTTAACCTACAGAGCTGATGATGTTTGAACAACAATATCTCAGGAATTATTAAAGATAAAAGCCTGGAATCTGCAAAATCTACAATGTTGGACAAGTAGCTCAATAGTCTCTGATTATGGATGAGTTAAAAAAATGGAAAAAATCCATCCTAATAAGTGGGCTTCAGGGTGGCGCAGTTGGTAGCACTGTTGCCTCACAGCAAGAAGGTTGCCGGTTCACGTCCCGGTGGGAGCACCGGAATCTTTCTACGTGGAGTTTGCATGTTCTCCCCGTGCAGCATGGGTTCTCTCCAGGTTTTCCAGCTTCCTCCCACAAGGTCCAACTGGTGATTCTAAACTGGTGTGAATGTGAGTGTGCTTGGTTGTCTGTCTCTAAGTGTAGCCCTGTGATAGACTGGTGACCTGTCCAGGGTGTCCCCGGCCTTCACCCAATGTCGGCTGGGATAGACTCCAGCCCCCCCGCGACCCTAGTGAGGATTAAATTGTGTATAGATAATGGATGGATGTCCTAATAAGTCCCATCTTTAAGCACATATTAGGAAAGCAAGCAGGTTAGTTATATTATATATACTTTCTGACTCATATGGGCGGCTGTGGCTCAGGTGGTAGAGCGAGTCAGTCAATGATCAGGAGGTTGGCGGTTTGATTCCGCCCTGGAACTTGGTACTTGTGTCCTTGGGGAACCTTGCCTGTTGTGAATGCGTATGAATGGATTGAGGTGGTGGTCGGAGGGCAGACAGGCAGCCACGCCTCTGTCAGTCTGCCCCAGTGGCTACAATCGTAGCTACCACCAGAATGAATGTGTGTGAATGAATACGTGACAGTGTAAAGCGTCTTTGAGTGTCTAGAAAAGTGCTGTATGAATCTGATCTATTATTATTATATGTAGCAGCATGTCACAGTAATACGAAACAAGACGTATAGAATACTTTTAAATATGAAAAAAAAAATATATTAAACTTTCATACCTGATTTGAGCACATGGAACAAGTTTTACCACAGAGATTAAAATAATGCCAGACAATCTGATCCATGTGGAACAGATATAACGTTAGATCTTTATAAATGTCTATGTTTTATACTCAGGCTCGTTAGAGATGGTTGAGCAGAAAGAGTTCTAAACACTGATGATCTGAGATGGAATGAGTCGTTTGTAAGTTAGATTAGTTGTGTGAACATCCACAGTGGGAAGGTGTTGGATTCAAAACATTCAAACAAAATGCAAATAAACCTCAAAGGAGCTGCAATTGCAGCACATAAAACTCTTCATTTAACAATGAATGTCTTCTCTAATTCTTCCTGGTAGATCCTGTGATGCTCCGTCAGAATGGATGAGACACATCTGCCATCTTCAGGTTTCACATCCCTTGCACTATGACAACCAGGTTTTTCTTCAAGGACCGTCTTTATTTGGCAGCATTTATACCCCTGTCAACTCTAATGAGCATCCCCGCCACTGAAAACCCCCCCACCACCACCACGTTTCACTGCAGGGGGTTGTACTAGCCAAGCGATGAGCGGTGTCTGGTGCTCAGCAGACATCGTGTTTGGAGTTCTGCCCAAATACTTTTGACTCATCAGATCAGAGAATCCTTATCCTCTCAGAGTCTAGTCTGGCAACCTCCAAGCGAGCTGTCTTGTCTTTTTTTTTTCTTAACTCGGAGCAGCTTCCGTCTAACTGCTCCAGCGTAAAGACCTGATTGATGGAGTGCTGCTGAGATCGTTGCCCTTTCAGCAGGTTCAACCTTCACTCCTGCAGAGATGGAAGAACCTAGTTTAATTACTGTTGGGCACCTGGTCGCAGTTTGCTCAGTTGTTCTGGTTGGTGAAGTCGAAAAGAAAAAAAAACCACCATTGCTCCCAAACTTGAACCCAATTATTAAACTTTACAAACTGTTTTACGCCCATGTCCTGACCTACACCTCACCACAGGGTTCTCATTGGGTTTTACAGAGAGTTCCTTCACGGTTTGCTTTAAGCGCCGACGTCCACAACACATTCTAAACTACATCTATAGTTTGCCGCTCTGGGCACATCTCCAGGATTATCAAAGCAAACGCATCTGACCACAGTTTGAACCCACAGCCTAAATACTGCTGTATAGAAGAGATGTCAGTTTTTGTTTTTCTTTAAAGACCCAGTGCAGTGAAAATCAATGGCGTAGTGTATTTATATGCTATACTGTATCATGAGCAGAACGAGCAGTCAACCCTGTAGCCGAGCGTCATCTCCTTGAAACTGCAGTGCACCGATGACAATCTCAGAAAGACGAATTGAGACTTCAAGGGTTTCGTACACATTCTTTTCTTGGCAACTTGCAGCGTGGAACTTTCTGTCTCATTGTCCTTTCAGAATGAAACATGTATTGCTGAATTACTCCACTTGACAAATTGTACCGTAGAGACGTTTTAGAGCATTTGAGCCGAAAGTGAGAGTTCATCTACGCCATTTTAAGGCAGGAAGGGATTATTTTCATGGATTAGAACTCGTAAATATGCACCACGGATGATGCACAGAGATTTATTTTTAGCATTTTGATTAAAATCCAGGGCTGCAAGGTGGCGCAGTTGGT